TATATCGCCTTCCGGGTAGTGTCGTGATGCGTGTCTGCCTGGCTGCTCTACTTTGTTGGTCCCCGTTAGTCGAATGATGGTTGGAGCTCAAGAACAAAGGTTGATGTCCAAATAGTTTAATCATGGTTTCTCCCCGAGTTTGTGCACCGTTGGACGAGCTTTGCAAAACTGATCAGGTTCGAATTTATGTACGATCAAACATAACTATAGACATGAAATGAAAGGCGGGCTTGTAATCTGGATGTGTATGTGTATGGTATGCACATTGCCAACCCCCAAACCTCAACACCCCCTAATGAACCCCAACACCACTCAAACCTCGATGCTATGCGGCTACGCTATGATTACAAGCACTGCGAGTAGTACTCGTTCTGGGGCTTGCAGGTGGTGCCGGCGGCGCAGACGAAGCTGCCGGTCCACTGGCGGCCGCCGCACTGGCCGTATTTGGGCACGGCCTTGAGGGCGGGCAGGGCGAGGATGCGCTGCGAGGCGTGCTCCGACGCCGTCACGATGTACGAGGTCGGGTTGGTGGTGGGCACGCCGGGGAAGATGGACGCGTCGATGACGAACAGGTTGTCCGTGCCCCACACCTTGGTGTTGAGGTCCACGACGGCGCTGCCGCCCTGGCGCCCGTCGTCGGTGCCGATCTTGTTGGTGCCCATCCAGTGGTTGGCACGGCGGTTGCTGGTGGAGACGACCATCTGTACAGAGGTGTTAGTATTTGTGGAGTATTGGGGGTATTTTTGGGGGTTAAAGGAGGTGAGGGGGGCGAAAACACATACGTTGTTGACGTAGTCGCGGGCGGAGATGCTCGCGTTGGGGAAGGTCCAGGTCAGGCCCGGGATGGTGTTGAGGGCAGCCTTCATGTTGATGATACCCTGGATGACGGCCTCCTTGTCGTTGGGGTCCTTGAGGTAGGGCACGTCCGAGACGACGGTGGTCAGGGCGGGGGTGATGGTCATGCGGCCACGCGAGGTGGCGCCACGGCCGAGGTACTGGGAGATGGTCATGGCCTCTGGGAGGGGGTCAGTGGGTCGTTCTCATTTTCAGAATGGCAGCGGAGGAAACGTACGGCCGTTGGGAGTGTCAAGACTGCCCTCGACACGGGCGGTCCACTGGAGCTGGCGGACTCTGCCATCGGCACCCTTGATTTCCTCCCACATCCTGGTCTGGTTAGTCCGATTGTTTGGAGCGACCCGGGGGATGGTGGCCAACTCACATAGGGCCAATGTTGGGGGCGGCCTGGGCAAGGATGCCGGTGCGGCCGTTGAGGTAGCTGTTCTTGTCGGCCGCAATGGGGTCGGTCCACGCCGCGTAGAAGTCGTAGAACTTGACATCGGGGTGGGTGATGACGGTGTCAGTCTGTCACGAGGTTAGCCGTCGTCCTAGGTTGTATTCGGATTTTACATGGAACCTACGTTGAGATGGTCATCCAGGTTGTAGCCAACTGGCAGGTTGATCCACGACGAGTTGCTGATCATGGTCGGGCCGTCCTTCTCCGAGTTCTTGACAATCTGGAGCTGATCAGCCGGGCCGATACCACTCCTCAGCAGGAGCTTGGCGCTCCCGAAAGCACCAGAGGACAGAATGACACGGCCGGTAACGCTGGTAACAGGCACGATACCGGCGTAGCCGCCGTCACGGTACGCCTCGACCTCGACACCGGTGATGTGGCCACCCTCACGGATGACACGCTTGACCGAGGTGTTGAGCCAGAGGTTGAAGTTGCTACGCTTCTTGGCGCTGGAGAGGTAGGTCGCCAGGGGCCCGTTGCGCTGACCGCCGGAGAACATGAAGGGGGCATTGGAAAAGGTACGGTTCTTGCGGTCAGGGGCCGAGTTGGCCGTGACCTTGCTCCAGCCACCGGTAGTCAGACCACCGGCGAGGACGTTGAAGCCCTCCTGGTAGTAGCGCTTACCGTCGGTCGAGGGGGCGTCGGTACCCGGGATGCGCTGGAGGACGCGGTTGACGGCGGCCTGGACGTCACGGTACTTCCAGCCGGTGGGGAAGATGTAGTCCCAGTCGAGAGAGTAGGGCTTGAACCACAGACCGGCGTTCACAGCGGTGCCGCCGCCGAGAACGCAACCGGCCATCTGGTCGGTGTCCTCGCACGCAATGCCCTTGGAGTCGACCCAGATCTGGTTGCACAGACCGGGGACGTCGAAGCGGGTAAGGCCGGTGCCCTCCAGCCACGCGGGGCGGAGAGTGCCGCCGTGCTCGCCGGTCGAGGCGAAGCCCTTCTCGATGAGCAGCACCTTCTTTCCGGACTCGCTAAGCTTGTCAGCAGCGGGGATACCGCCGGCACCGCCGCCAACGACGATGTAGTCGAACACAGCGTCCGTCGGCACGGGGACGCTGACGACGTCGGTCGGGGTCGAGCCGTCGCACGTGCCAGTGACGGTCTTGGTGGCCTTGGCGGCCCAGGCCGTGTAAGACGGGTTGGCGGCGTTGGAATCGAGCTGTGCGCCCCAGATGCCCATGCCGTTGTCGTGCTGGCCGAGCGAGATTTGGTCCGGGCAGGTGGGGTTGGTAACCTCGCCGAAGGCCTGGACCCAACCGAGAACCAAGGCGCCGGAGCTCGTGGAGGCGCTGCGCTCAGCGCCGTCCTGGCTCCACTGCAGGCAGTTCTGGCACCTGAAGATCAGGGTGAAGTGCGTCGCGTTGATGGTGGACGAGACCTGGGTGATCTTGGCGTTCCCCTTGTAGAGATCCGGCATGACGTAGCCGGTCGCGAACCGGAGGGTGGTGTAGACGGTGTCCTCGTGCGGCCAGGCCGTGATGAGGAGCGAGTTGGTCATCGGGCCGCCCAGGGAGACACCGCAATATCCCGCAGCTTCGGTCCTCGCGCATTGCTGGGGCAGTTAGCCTCTCGAAGAGACATTTCTGTGGTGTTTTGGAACGTACCAGGTAACCGAGGAACTCCGAGGCATCGGTCTGGAGAGCATTCTCGGGCAGAGCCACACCAAACTGGAAACCACCCTTGGTCTGGGGAGCCCCGTTGGCGATACCCCATGAGTTGAAGATGATGCCGGAGTCCGCGTCAGTGAATGTCACAGGAGCATTGTTCTGGGCGAGGGCAGACGGCAGGACTACATGGTGAGTGTCAGTCGCTAGGGGGTTGGACGTATCACGTTTGACTCGCACTTACACGATGCCGCCGCCGCAAGGGCGCCAACGAAGCGAGAGGAGGACCTCATCTTTGAGTGCAGAGACTAGTTTACCTCGACTCTACCGGCGTACAAGCACACAAAGAGATGGCAACTGAGGATACGGCTTCCCTCTTAAACCCCCGTGGCAGGCCCCCTTTCCCTGAATTCGGCAGCAGGTAGTCCGGTACGCTTCCAACTCTGGTGGAGGGGCAAATGAAGGACAGGGTACGCGAAATCTCCGGTAGGTGGAACGGCGGCAACCCTGTCCGCCATCGCGAGCAGGATGCAACTCCAGCGATGCATCCGGGGAATAGGCAAGGACATCCCACGACGAACGGATCGAGTGGAGGCCACGGGAACAGGTGCGGCGTGGGACGGCTGACCACCATCGTGTCGAGTCCAGACTTACACAAGGGGGGTGCCCGCCGTTCCTCAACGAGGCAAGACGCCGAGGCTTACGCAGGGCGGTGCCTGGGAAGGCTGTGATGGCACGGTTTCCGCACGCGCCATACTCTGTATGTATGTGCTCTCTCGGTCTTTCCCGAGTTGGGAGGTTTGCTAACCCGGTTCGCATGCGGCACACAACCGGGTCGGTGGGTAACTCCTGTGTGGTACATAGTGTAATCTGTACGCGAGTGGCTGCCACGCCTAGTCGAGGTCTCGGATGGGAGTCCCGTGTGATTACAGGGGCATTGGCAGGGGTAATGGCAGGGCCCTGCCGTTCGGCGCCCAGAACGGGAGCCAGCATAGCGGTTAATTGGCAGAAGAGCCAAGACAGGTTCCTGATCGCTTGGGCTCCCGGCGAGCCGTAACCATTCCGGAAACGAATTCGACGGCGCATGCCCTCCGAAAGCCCCGCCGTTCGAGAGCTCTCCCGAAGATCCCGACCAGGGAGCCTGGGCCAACGAGGAGCCTGGCGTTTGTCATTATGCTGGACTTGGCGGGTGTCTGGGCGTTGCAGACTCGTGGAGAATAAGAAGAAACCCCGCGTCTGCTGGAATCCTCCAGGATCTCACTGCGCAATATTGAGGACGATTCGAGATGCGGAGGATGTGACGAGTAGATAGGAGGGGCGCCGGGTATTTCGAGAATGTTGCAACCACATCCGAACGAGGAAGGTATCGTCACCACGACCCGAAAACCCGGTCGTCGACCTTGCTCTTGCTTGCCCTGCCGTACCTCCTTCGACCACTGCAGTAATTTCGACCAACTGATCGCTCCGATCCAATCGATCAGCCGCTTCTCCAGAGGAAGGAGCGATCTGGGGCGCATCCTTGGTTGCGCTGATCAGCGAGAGCCGCATCTTCAGAGGCACCAGAATACTGGAACCAAGGAAATGATCTGCCATTGTTAAAAAGTTTCTTTGATTGCGGCTCATGCAAAGGCGGCAGCCAGACGGGAGGGCTACGGAGTATTTGTAACTATGTGATGGTGGGGAGGGTAGGTAAAGTAGTTCGAGGGTGGGAGACTCGGGTGGCCGAACAAGAAGTCAAAAGAGAGGTAATTCCCCGCCTCCAATCGGCGGTCGCAAATTACACTAGAATACTTACCCAACGAGTTAGACTCCGGGCAATGCATCGATCGAAAAGGAAAGAGAATTGGACAGGGAAGGAACCAGCAGCAACAAAGAGCAAAAGTAAAGACCGACCCACGTGCGGCTCGAACGCACAATCTCCAGAGCCGAAATCTGGCGCCTTACCATTTGGCCAGCGGGCCTTCGGATGTGTTACATTCGGCGTGAAAAGAAAGGTGCTTATGGTTCTCGCTTGGTTAGCGCTGGAAAATCACCCGCAAGAATTCACTCGTCCGTGCTTTGTCAAAGAGTGACGTGATTTTATCATCATCATCAATGGGTACATGGTCTAGTGGTATGATTTTCGCTTCGCACTATACGTGCCCTTGTGAAAGGTCCCCGGTTCAATCCCGGGTGTATCCAGCATTGTTTTTGAAACTCCTAACCTTCTAACTATCAGAGGGTATTTTTAGCATTTTTATCCTCTAACTAAGGTGATGCTTAACACACCAGAGATTCAAGACATGGGCGGCGGAGCTCGGTGGTGAGGCGGGTAAAAGCGGGTCTGCCAAGCTGGTGCTGCATGTGGGGTTGCGATTGGCTTCAACTTTTTTTCTAGCATTCGCGATAAGCCTCGGGAACACTGCAGAGCGCAAAGAAGCAATCAACACACTGCCTTCCAAGTCAAAACATCACCTCCACAGCCCGTCAAGATGCGCCCCTTAACAGATGAAGAAATGAAGACGGTGTTGGACAAGGTACGTGTGCCAATTCCCTCCCGTACTCGCCTCCAATGCCACCCTCAAAGGACCAAAAGCCGTATACCAGCTAACACCCCCCCCTCAGCTAGCCAACTACATGTCCGACCTCAAGAGTCTGATCGCGCCCCTCGAAGACGGCGACCGCTACGTCTTCCGACTGAACCACTCTCGCGTACGCCCACCCCCCCATCCCCACCTCATACCCGAATCAACACCACACCCCATCCAATGTTTACACCCGTTGCTCACCCTCCTTGTTCAACCCACAGGTCTACTACGTCAAGCTCTCGATCGCCAACCTCGCCACCAGCATCAGCCGCGACGCCCTCCTCAGCCTGGGCACCTGCCTCGGCAAGGTGACCAAGACGGGCAAGTTCCGCCTGCACATCACGGCGCTGCCCATCATCGCGTCGGGCGCCCGCCACAAGATCTGGGTCAAGGACAACGGGGCCCAGCCGTTTCTGTACGGGTCGAACGGTGAGTCGCTCTTTCTCGGGGGTGGCGGCGACAGACGCGGACATGGATTGTGGAAGGGGGGCAGTGCTGACTGTGTTGGGGGGATATAGTGGTCAAGGCGCATGTTGGTCGGTGGTCGGAGGACTGCCCCGAGCATCAAGGCTGCGTGGTGTACAACATGGCGGATGTGCCGCTTGGGTTTGGCGTGGTAGGTTACCTTTTGTCTTGGTTTGTTCAGGGGACGGGCATGGCTGACGTGGAGTAGACTGCGAGGAGTACGGCCGAGGCGAGGCGGTTGGACCCTACGGGTATCGTGTGCTTCCGGCAAGCGGACTGCGGAGAGTACCTCCGTGACGAGGACACGCTCTTTGCTGGTTGATGGAGTGAGAGTTGGGCGGTGGGATGGTTGGCAAAAACACACGGCGTCAGGCGTTTTGAGGGTCTTTAGATTCCCATGCGAGACGGGTGGGCACTGGATGAGGTGGTAAAAGATCAAAAAATGGCCTGAATATGATTTCAGTCAGCTATATGAAGATACCAAGGAAATCTATTTTTGTCTATCCGCGTTCCCCCTCTCGAGAAATGAAACCCTATGCCCATCTACAGGACTGCCCCCTCTGCTTCGTACCCTCCAATCCCTTTCCCATCCACCACCTCCCTCACCGGCGTCACCGGCCTGCTCTCCCTCACCGAGGCAAAGAAACTGATACTCTCCCGGTGCGCAACGTACTCGCTATCCGCATACCCCAGAATCCCCTCCACCTCCACGCTCTGCCTCCCCTTGATCCGCGCAATCTCCGCGCTCGAATAATTGCTCAGCGCCCGCCCCACCTCGCGCGCCTCACCCTCCCACAACTTGGCCCCATCCCCATCCCCATCCCCCCCATCACCACTACCACCATCACCCCCCTCAACCAAGGCATTCCCCTCCCCAGGGGCAGGGGTATGCAACCCCGTCTTCCCCTTCTTCCGCCTCTTATCCACCACACAGAGCCGCACGGCCTCCTGCTGCGCAAACGAGCCCTCGACGTCGACCACGCCGACGGGCAGCAGGCCGGCCTTGCCGACGAGGGCCTTGTAGGCGCCCTGGTCGATGTACAGCGTGCCGTGCGGGCGCAGGCCGTGCAGGATCCAGAAGTAGCGGTCGCGCACCGGGTGCGGCGACGGCAGGAACCGCGTGTGCAGCGGGATTTTGTTGTTGTTGCCGCCCGGGATGGGGGTCGAGGTGAGGCTGCGGTCGGCGGCTGCTGCAGCTGCTGCTGCTGCTGCTGCTGCTGTGTCGGCGTGGGGGGATCCTGGTTGGGTGGTGGTGGCGGCGGCGGCGGCTGAGTTGAGGAGGGCGTCGGTGCTTTGGGTCCGGGAGAGGGCGCCTGGTGTGCCGGGGGCTTGGTTGGCTTTGGTGGCGAGGGAGGGTGGTGAGCGGCTGGCTTGGATGTGCTTGACGATCTTGATGATGTTGCCCGGGATGGAGGACCGCGTGATGACGGTTGTGACGCCGGCCGAGGTGGCCAGACGGGCGGCGACTATCTTGGTGGACATGCCGCCCGTGCCGAGGGAGGAACCTGCGGATGAAACTGGGGGAGGGTTAGTCGACGGCTATTGAAAATGGTACGTAAAGGACGCACCGTCTGCTACCAGCGCCCCAATGTCTTCGACCACTTCAATAGGGTGGGCGTCAGGGTGGGTCCGCGGGTTCTTATCGTACAGAGCATCGACGTCGGTCATGAGGAAGAGGAGATCGGCGTGAACCATGGCGGCTGTGATGGCTGAGAGCGTGTCATTGTCGCCAAACTTGATTTCCGACACGGCCAGGGTGTCGTTTTCGTTGACAATAGGGATGACACCCATGTCCAAGAGCTCGTTGATGGTCCTCTGAGCATTGAGATAGCGTGACCTCTGTGAATGGTGTAAGTGGCGGGACACTCATACGGATTACGCAACTCGCTCACATCGGCAATATCACTTCGTGTCAGGAGGATCTGGGCAATGGGCTGCATGAGATGGGTGAACAAGCTGTCCCAGAGACTCATCAGCCGGCATTGGCCGATGGCTGCAAGGGCCTGTAAGATATTTAGGTTAGCCATCACGTTGAACTACACAGAGGTGAGCACCTCACCTGCAACTTGGAGAGATGTTTTGGTCTCTTATCGACGTCCATCCGCCGGAGCCCAACACCAATAGCTCCAGACGAGACGATGATGACCTTGTGCCCATCTTTCCTCAGTTTCACAGCCGTTTCCACTATCGACGTCAGGATGGAAAGTAGAGGCTCATGGGTCTTTTCGTCGACGATGGAGCTAGTTCCTGAAAATAAGAGGTCAATTAACTACACCAAACCCCTGTCTCAAACTCAGCCTTGTCGGACTGAGTGAGATGTGGTATTACTCACCGAGCTTAATCACAACGCCAAGCGGACGCGGCCCCCTCATGGCTGTTAATCGACAGGATTCAAAGTCAGTCAAAGGCTAGTAGTAAGATGAGGGTAAAACAGCAAAAAACATAAGCATCAAATTCTCCTGAGGGATTTCTCTCTTACACGGGAACCAACTCGTTTCCATTATATAGCATCGGGCCTCGGGTATGCTTCACAGGGGTGCTGTAATTTTCTGGTTGCTCGCCAACGGATCAAGCGGGACCACTGTGACGGCGGGCGTCAATCTGGGGAGAGAGTAAGCCGTGCAATTGGCCGACATCGGGAGGGGCGCCAATGGAAATCCGGGGTTCAGACCTCCCATTCAAGACGCGCCCTTCTGCTGAGCTTCACCGCCTGACTGTGCCGGACAAGGGCGTGGCAGCTCCACTCTAAGCCAGGGAAAAAGATGGGACCCAGGCACTGGGCGTTCGGTAGTGGAGCCATTCGCAGCGACTTGCAGATCGAATCGCGAAACTTGAACATTCTTGACCAGACTTTGGACGACAGCGACGATACCGTTTCTCCGGCACCGCCCAACATTCGCATAACCTCCGAGACCAAATCTAAGCACACAGTCGAACGATAACATCACGAGCCAACCCATCCCCAGCCACTTCGCACAACAATCATGGCAACAATACCACAACCATCACCATCACCACCTTCCTCCTCAACAACCTCACCACAGTCCCCTCCCTCCTCCGCCTCCGCCTCCGCCTCCGACTCACAACAACCCCCCAACAACCCTCAACCAACCCACCCCCCTCCCCCGCTTCCTCGAAAACGACCCGGCGCGCACGGGGTACGACCCCTCAGTCAAGTGGTGGCTGAACTACTTCCGGATCGTGACGGGGCAGGTGACGCGGGAAGGGGTGGAGCACTACCGGGAGGACCGGTACAAGGCCAACGAAGCGCGGGACTGCGCGCGGTGCGAGGCGGACCGGGCCTACCTGTTCAAGTACTCGCCGACGATCCGGTTCCTGCGCGACAAGGTGGCGGCGCTCAACGGGACGCTGGACGAGACCAACGTCGTGTGCCGGCGCTGCCCCGCGCGCGTGGCCGAGGACGGCCGCGTCGTGCGTCAGGGCGGTGGGTTCAGCCCGGATCATGGCATTCTGATTTGTGCGAATGAGATGCGTGATCGGGGCCACCTCGAGGATACCCTCGCCCATGAGATGGTGCACGCGTGGGATCATTTGAGGTGGAAGGTGGATTGGACCGGGGGCGGGAACTTGAGGCATGCTGCGTGCACTGAGGTGAGTCTCCTCCGCCGGGCGGGTCCGGGTTCATGGTGAGTGGGCACGCGAGGCTGACTCTGGGTGTCTTTTAGATCAGGGCGTCGATGCTCAGTGGAGAGTGCCGCTGGACGAGAGAGACCATGACACGGGGCAACTGGACACTAACACAACAGTTTCAAAACTGCGTGCGGATGCGGGCGATCCAGTCTGTCATGGCGCGGCCCGCCTGCAGGGACGACGTACATGCGACCAAGGTCGTCAACGAGGTGTGGGACTCGTGCTTCTCAGACAAGAGGCCATTCGAGGAAGTGTATCGCTGAGTTTCTGAGTGGCTATCTCCCCACTGTAAATGTAATATGCTTGTACTAGTAACGGATCTCCCTGCGGAAACAGATGATGCATCACAGCCCACAGCGCATGGCCGAGGGCGCGGAAATTAAACAAACAAGGCCGGACTGGCTGCGCCATGCAATGAACTCCTGACAGTGTCCCCGGTGAACCCAACTGACCCCAAACGCCGCTCGCTAGCTCCCGAAATCGCAAACGCCTCATTAA